TAGATTGATTGATTTGTGTGAATATGTGTGATTTAGTCATAACAAAAATTGAAAGTTAGTGTCACGAATTCTTTACTTTCAGCTAACTGATTCTGAATTTTTTGAGCAAAATGGAAAAAGAGAAAGAAAAAAAAGAACTTGGAAAGAAGTTGACATTTTCTGTGGGCCGAAGGCCCGAAGCTTTATTCAGAATTGAGAAAAACAAAGTAGAAATCTTTTATTAAAAAGAATAAAGAAAAAGGAAAAAGAAAAAACATTTTTCTTTGGGGATCAAATTCGTATTCTGTGCATTCAATCAAATCGTGGTTGTGAATCCAACAGTTGACGCAACTTTGAAAAGTTATGCCACTAACTTTGAAAAGTTTTGCAAGTGGCACTACTTTTGTAAAGAACATTTAATATAATTGTTTAAATAGTATGTCGAGCTTATTTAAATTAAATAAGTCTTGTTCAGCTCGACTCGACTCGACTCAATCTCGACTCGTTTGATAAGTAAGTCGATTTTGACACTGTTTAAAAAGATATTTTTTATATAATTTTTATTAGTTTAGCTCGCTAAATTTTGAGATCGGCTCATTAAAGTTTGAACTCAACTTGTTATTAGTGATAAACAAATCAAGTTAGAGCATCTACAATGTTTTGAGTTCTTTCAAAAAAATATTCAAGCCACGTAGGAAATAGACTCAGTTTAGAAAAATATATACTGCAATGCAAATGCAATTGAATTGTGTCATGCTGATGTGACAACAAGAAAATGAAACCCGATCTACCCTTGAGTTTATTTTAAAACCAAGTAGAGACCTAGTCTCTCTGCATTGGAGTTAATTTTATCATTTTTCTATATTTTTATCCATGTCATATAAGATTAAGTCTATGTACATGTCAAGTAAGCAAAATTAGACCCAAAGAACTGTACATGCTCTTAGAGTTTGATTTCAGATACGTTTTTTTAACGAGTCGAACTCGACTCAACTCGTTAAGAGCTCGAGCTTGAGCACCTTAAGCTCAAGCTCGGCTCGTTTGCAGACATAGTTAAGACTAGTCAGAATTTAAAAAAGTATGAAACTTTTCTATACTTTTTAAATTTTTATCACAATTCAATTTGTTAAGGTTCAAACTCGATTTCCTAATACCCGTGTTAACGAATTGAGTTCGAGTTGTCTATAGGCTCATTAACTTAATGAGCTTGAGCTCGATTTGATTCGTTTAAGCTCTACATTTGTATGAAAATCAATTATTATTATTATTATTATTATTATTATTATTTATTTTGCTATATAATAATGTGATTAAACACATATAATACAATTAAGCTACTAATAACAAAGGTCATGCAATGGGAAAAGTGGGGCAAAAGAAGAGTTAGATTGTGTGCTATTAGCCTAATTAATAGGTTCAGAGTAGATCAATGGACTTGACTAGAACTCGTCAAAATTAGTAATAATAATCTTGGAATGACAGAATTAAACCTAATCAAAGCACATATTAGACAAAAAGTCAAGATTTTAAAAGGCTAATAAACCTATTTGATGCAAAGAGTTAAAAATATTGCCTACTTCGGTTAAAGTTCAATTTTTGGACAACTATCATTCAGTTAATATTCTTATTCTTATTTTTTTTTTAAAAAAAAAAAAAGAAATCTCTATATAAAAATAAGGATAATTGGATAAAATCTGTTGTTTGTCCAATGTAAAAATTACTGCCACAATTGTTTATTTCATANAGATATATAAATTTTAAGATCTATTTTTTATTTTCTAGTATATGCTATTATCAAGCTCTCACGAAAGATCCGTACATGATATACCCATTTTTTTATCTTTTATATTTATACTTGGTTCTTGTCTATTATTCTTTTCTTGCTTTTATATGTAGATTGTTGCAGATATTTGTTGTTTTTTTTAGATCTTTTTCCTAGTAGCATCTAAATTTGTAGTTTTTTTAGTTAGATCAATTCATTTTATAGTGCATTTCTTAAGTTTTCTAGTTTAATTGTTTTCTCTATTTTTCTTATGATTTTTTATTCAAAGACTAAAAGTTAGGAGACTGTTAAAAGTGGAGTGTATCCAAAATTTTGAAGAAAGAAGGGGAAAAAACATCTATTTTTTTACCATGTCCAGTCTAAGAGAAGATCAGTTAATGGAGAAGGCATCAGATAGGGATAAGAAGAAAGTGGGAACTATTATCATGACTGAAAATCATTCAAGTCAATTAAGAAATTATTATCTGTTTGACTCATAAGGACATAAAATAAAATTAATACTATTTCCATTGTAGGAAAATTTTGTTTTCTTTCCCATACAATCGAAGTTGATTACTGAAATTTGTAAATGCAATGATTGCCACAATATGTTAAGCAACCAAATAAATTCTATTTTTTTTTTTTCTTTGTTCAACGTTTGCCTAATAAGACACAGTTTGACTGCCCCCTTAGATAAAGTCATAAAGAGACCACATGTATCCGTTTAAAACATCACCTGACAATAAAATTCAGTTGTTGAATGCAGACATCAATACTTGCTACAAACTCAAGCTAATCACTCAACAAACTCAAACAATAAAATTCGAGAAACATTCAGCCGTTGAATAAGACCCAACAGTCTTAGTGGAAGGCAAGCTGACATGCGTTGGATCCGCGCTCAAACAATGAAATTCTCTGAAGCGCTTTGAATTTCGTTTCCGCATCAATGCATCCATGAGGTGGGGTAAATAGTTCCATCCTCTCCAGTACTCGAGAATTCCTCAGAAGATATCTCACCATGTCAAATTCATGCTCTTTGTACCATATCCACTTAATTGTTATGGTTCTTAGACAGGATAATAGGCATTTAGGCACTTGTTCGGGCTCCTCACACAAATATCCCTTCGTACAATCAAGCTGCGGACACTAAAAGGAGCATAACAAAATGAGTAAAATAAGAGGAACTATCGTTGTAAGATTGTCGGCAATTTAATTGCATCAATGATTAAATCCACTTACAATAAGGACTTCAAGATTGTCGGCAATTTCAAGGAACTTTAAAAGCAAACTCCATTTGAAGTTCAATTTGAGTTCGAGTTTGGTTAAATTATCAAACTTTACAGTTGAACGAGCAACTCCTCTACGAATAATCTGTAAAATTAACACATTATTACGCAAATATGTAACAACAAAGCCGAAAACTAATTGACGCGAGGACTAAGAGACTGAAGAATCAAAACATACCTCCCCAAATTTCACTCGTGATATCTTTAGGCACTTTACATAAGACAGAGAAAGAAGAAAGTTGGCCACCTGTTTTAGTGAATTGTCACTGGGTTTGAGATTTGGGAACCTAAAATATTTTAAGCTGATATCTGCCTCAACTAAGGAGATCATGGTTATAGGAATTGTTATACACTCCAAGTCATAGCCATACACTTGGAGATACCTAAGCGCCGGGGCATTTATTATCATCCTACTATCTGGACAACACAGACGGTAAAGATCAAGCTTAAGCGTCTTTATCGTGGGTGATGATATAGTTATGCAGCCCACATAATCATAACAAATTGCGAATGCCAAATTCAACTCCTCGAGCGATGGACAGCCAGAAAGAAAGTGAGGAAGCGCATCATCATTCTCACACACAAGATTAGAAACATGAAACTTCTTGAGGCTAGGCAGAGAGACATTGTCCACAGCAGAGAGTGACACTGTACTAAAACCAAGCTTCAAGTCGACAATGGTTTTGCTGATGAAGAGGGATTGAGGGATTGCATCGGATTTAAGTTGAAGATAAAGATTTCGGATATTACGGTCGATGGTGGTTGTAATCAATGTCTCCAGTTGATGCTCGTTGCAGTTGACGTAATCGATTTTTAAAGTATCCAATCTTTTTGCCTTGTGCCGCAATATAACTCCGTTGATTTGTGTTCCATCTTCCGTGAAATCGACTCCTCTGATATACGAACAGGGCAATATCAAGACCCTACTTATTGCAAGAAAGTTGGTCCATTCGGACCATGCCAATCCTATGAAATGCAAACAGGGTACATGAGCCCATAAAAACCTCCATCTTTTTCGGAGAACGCTGGTCGCCATTGAGAGCTTTGTCGGGAGGAAAGAGAGAATGTGACATATGACGTCATCCGGCAAGCTGCTCAGCCTATCGATCGAAGCCATGTTTTCCTCTCCATCCGAAAGCTTTGGGCGCTTTTCACTCGATTGCCTAGTTTCCTCCATTAATTTTCACAACTACAAACAAAGCGCAGTCGCATTCAGAGGGTACCAGGATTCATTCTACTGCCTGTCCGATTGGCAGATTAATTCTATGTGAAGAAGAAGAAGAAGAAGAATATGATGAGGCAGAATATGAAAAGGCTGAGAAATAACAGTAGAGCATTTATTTAGCCATTGATGTAAGTGGAAAAGAGCCAAGAGAGAAACCTGAAGCCTCCAAAACCAAGAAGACTCTTGCGATTCCCGTCGCCACATGCGCCGCGTGAAATGAAAATAGAGTGTCACTCCGTATTTGGATAGAAAATTAATTTTTGGAATTAAAGTAGAGTGTCGCTTTGAAACCTGTATCATTTTTGCTTGCGCGGTGTAGCTCGCTCACGCTATTTTTCAGTATTTTACGTTGTTTTGACTGATCTTCACTCAAAATAATCAAAGAAAAAACGATCAAGTTCTTTTAATATAACTTAAGGTTAAGTGTTTTCAAACAATAGCTGATTTTTTTAAAAAAAAAAAAGAATCGAACGAAATATTTTAAATTAAATTAATGACTTATATTTTTTAATTTTGATGGCTTAAGTTAAATTAGATGTTCAATAGTCATATTAAGACATTTTCATTAGACATTTGAAAGAAATAATACTGTAATGTAATTTTTGGATTCATTTTTTAATAGTAAATATTTTATATTACTTTAGATCATTATTCTTATTATATATAACTATGTATAATACTTTCATAATATAAAATTGTTAATTTCAAATTACTCATGTAACATGAAACGTTATCTATTGTAACCATATACTATCGTATATTTGAATTACAGTATACACTTTCATTTCGGATTTCAATAATCATCAATACCCGCCAGCGGCGGATCCAGAAATTTTAATGAGTCAGGGCAAAAAATAGTTGAAGTTTTTTTTAACCATATTGCACAAAGTATTTTATTAAGAATTAAATAAATCGTTTGAGCAATCGAGAGTTGAGGGCTTTCCTAATCAATTTTTCTTTGACTTGATACTAGAAAATGAAATTGAGAATGACACCTTGTTATTTTATCTTGTCGTTATTATTATTATTGAGAAATATACCAAAAATATTTTACAATTTCTTTTTTTTTTGTAATAATTTATAAACAAGTCATTTTGAAATATAATTTAGTAATCTATTAATATATAAAGAGGCGACCTAAAAAATACTTATATAGTAACTAAAAAATCATTTGAAATCCCGCCTAAAAATATAACTAAATATAGAAACTTTTTTGAATATTTTCGTAATATGGCGCCACTTATTAAATCATTTGAAATTTTCGAAAAATTGAAATTTTTTTGTCAACATCCCAAAATTCGAAAATCCTGCCTAAATTTTAGTGATCTCACGGCCATTTATAATTGCAATAATAACTTCAATGATCTCACGGGGTTTTCCAAAATTTTCTTTAGAATATTTTTGTTTGGTTTGGGATATATCCATAATTGCAATAATTAACTTTTTTTATATTTGTATTTTGATTTGATTAATGCGATACCTTAAAAGTTCATATTCCGAAATGAATTAATGATACTTTTTCGAATTCTGAATTGAATTAATTAACTATTTCATATGACGTATTATGGTTATTAAATGTTAAAGAACAATCAATCACACAATCAAATCAAAATGCAGATATAAAAAATGGAATTTCAATCAAATGAACTATTTCTAATAATATATCATGATAATGTGATAAGCAGAATCTTTTGAATAAGAATCTCAAATGTTAAAACTCAAATGTTATGAGATATCTTAATTTACATCCCAAATTTTTTTGGGATTCTAACAAATCAAATAAATTCAGAAATACATCATCAAGATAGTTGGTAATTCGTTATATTCATATATAATTTTACGGTTTTTTTTATTTAAGTATACAAAATCATAACACACGATTTCGCTATTTTAATTTATTTATTGATTTCCTTTAAATAAAGATATATAATTAATAAATTAACCATATCTATATCTATATCTATATATATAAAAAAGTTTGATTAATTTTTAAATAGTAATTGTTTCCCGGCAAAAAAAAATAAATGTTATTAAATCTGAAAATTATTTAAGCATTTTATGGTATGTTTTAAAAGGCACAATTTAGGTGATTGCTGCTGTAATATATTACTCACTTAAGAAATTCTTTTTTTGAATATATTTATTACACAAAGAATATAGTTTTTGCTAATTTTAAAGATACAATTTAGGTAATTGTAGTTGATTTATCATGCTAATATTAATCACGTATATCAGTCTCTAATATCTCGAGGTACACATTCCCTAAAACACTAACTTTAAGAATAAAGTGTATCATTTGATTTGCGTAATCATATATTAAATGAAATTAATAAATATCCACATTAAAAAAGAAATAATCTGTTAAACTATTTAAATTATGTATTCAAAATATTTATTCTATATTTTGTATTTTTTAAATAAAATAATTATGAATTAACTATATCTTAGACTTTTTTCTAAATTATTTATTTATTATGATTTTCTTATACAATAAAAATGCAACTGACCATAAATAAAAATTAATTAATAAATATCCATAACAAATCTACTTTTAGATATTTATTATGAAAACAAATTTATCTATTAATTTCAATATAAATATAAATAAAGACCATCACTTAATATATATCACAGCCGCAACATTCCATATGTATTGCAAATAATATCACTACACTGCAACATTCCATATATGAAATTGAACACGGATATTCTAATTAATTTTTTATCCATAATTTTTAATATTTACAAAATTATTATACCCATTTAAACTATGGAATTTATGTGTTTAATGCTAAAATTATCTTGGACCAAAATTTGTTTCCAAATCTTAATAGAGTCTGAAATTTGGTTTGAAAAATTCTTATACGTGTTAAACTTTCTTTGAAATTTTTAATTCATTTTTTTATTAGAGTGTGTGTCTATGCGAAAATTTTCTTCCTAAGATTCAATATCGTACGATATGCTCATAATATCAGAAATTTATTTTGTTTAATCCCATAATATGCATAATATTATGCATAATAAAAAGATGGATTTTGTATAATCCCATCTGAATTTGATATGAATATTAATATTAATTTAAAATTCAAAATTAAATCGAATTGGAACATCATACAAAATTGTGTTTTGTTTAATTCTTCAGTATACAATGTTGAAATTGATTGCATACACGTACACAATTTTTTCCTTCCTAAAATTGAGTAATTTGTTGAATCAAATGCGCTATTGTTGGTCCACCAAATCAGTAAAGATTCCTTGCATGAAGAATTTTTACAATTTTAAAATAATAAGGCTCTTGGTATACACCCATTAGGTACGAATTTCTGATCGGATTATGAATTTGAAATCAAATAAAATTTATTTCTTTCCACAAGTTAAAAGTTTCAAAATATTTTATTTCAAATTTAAATTTGTTCATTTAGAAATATATAGAATCTTTCTTTACTTTCAAAAGTCCACCTAGATTATCTATTACTATATAGCAAGGTTACTTATTTAATAAATATAGTAGGTAAAATCCAAATTAATTTCTTTTCAACTTTCTAAATACTAAATATCAACTTTACACGTCATTTGATTTTTGTTTTCAGTGATTTCACATATGTTTTTTATTTTTCTTTTTTCAAGTTATTTCAAAAACCAGTTTCTAATATATCTCAATAATGGTTCACTGTTGATTCGCGTAGTATGTATGAACTTTTTAAAAATTAATACAACACATTATTTATTAATCTTATTTATTAATTGTTGATATTATAAAAAAAATATTCTTTTCACTACTAAGGAGTTGCATTTTTTGTTTTTAATATATATTTGCATATAAAAAGATATATATAACAACAAATTGGGTCAAAAAATATATTCAATTTCAAATAAAAGATTTATACACAATAAACTCGGTTCAAAACACTATTTTTTTTAATATACATACAAATATAATGTGTGGTAACTTTTTTTTTATTGTGAGTTTGGGACGTAAATGTGATATTTGTTTTTTAAGTTTGACTTTTTTATTTACAAGTCATTGGCTCCTCTTAAATCTCAACAGTTGTTCAATGTAAATAATACTCATGTTTTAAACACTAATTCCGATAGATATAAATCATTCTTTGAAAATAATCTCAGCCCACTATTTCTGATATATACTAACGATTCAAATTTAAGAAAAAAATCTATATTTTATTAAGGAATACAATATCAAATAAAAAAAAAAAGAAAAAAGAAAAAATGGGCGAACATCTTCAATATCTTAACATATTTCTTATATAGTAATTGATTATCAGAGTTGTTTCTTTTAAAACAAACCATATTATATCTTTCATATTTCCTATCAATTGATTTACTACCAAAATTATTATATTTTAATAAATTGTTACACTAAGAGTTGTTAAATGTAAATATAGCACATCCTTTAAACACTAACCCCGACAGATACAAATCAATCTTTACAAATCATTTCAACACACTAATTGTGATATATACTACCGGTATAAGTTCAAAAAAAATTACTATATTTTATTTAGAGATATCATATCAAAAAAGAAAAAAAAAAAGATGGAAGATACAATGTCAAATGCAAAAAAAAAGAGAAGAATATCGCATGTTGACATGTTTTTGAAGAAATCAGTGTTCAGCCAGTCTGTTGTATGTAGTTGCTTCACGCGTACGAATCCTAAATGTGAAGATCATAATTTGTGGACAGAGACGGATTTAAATGAGGCTCAAGGGGGCCCATGGGCCCGCCTCATTTTTTTTAAGTATATATATAAAGAAAATTCTATAAAATATGTTTATAAATGCAAAAAATATTTATAATATATTAATAATTAACACTTATTTTTTATGATATTTTAATTTAAATTAATAATATTATTTATTTATTAAAAAATTTACTAAAAATTATTATATTTTACATTTTTAAATAAATTTTTAAACTATTTATAATGATTTACTCATTCGATCTTTTAATTGTAAATTAATTTTGTGATTTATAAAACCGAGTATTTAGTTGGATTGTTACGTTTTTTAATGTTGATTTGTTACTTTTTTTTATAATAACATTTTTCAACTTTATTTATTTTATTCTTAACAAATGCTCATTTGATAAGCTCTCATTAAAAAAAAAAATATGCCTTGTGCTGCAAATTTTCAATTTAAATCAAATTTTCAATGAAAAAATTTATTTTTTTCATAAATTATAGATGTTAACCTTATATTAAAAATTCATGAAATCTCTTTTTTTTTTGTTTTTTGTTTTTAGAAGTTTAAGGGTGATATGAATTTTAAGTTTTTAAAAACTTGATGCAAATATTGATATTTTTATTTATAGTAAATGCATATTTATATGAAATGAATGTTTCGACTTAAACTACAAATTCGTTATTAGCATTAAAAACCAGGTCCCCTTGAGTGAAATTCATAGATCCGTCACTGTTTGTGGATATGATGATGTATCAGAATTCAAACAAAGAATGTTGTGTACAAATTGGTGTTTAATTATATATAAATATTATTTTTATATTCCAATAAATGCAATTTATCTTTTGAGTAATGATCCCATCATCTAAATCAATATGTTTTCCTTAATATTACTAGCCCGTGCATCGCACGGGTACAACACTAGTTTAAGAAAGGCCTAAATGTCATCATTTTTGTTCCTGTTAATTTTATAAAAAGTTCCTTATGGATTATCTTATTATATATAAATATAGAGTTTTTCACGGTCAACTTCTACCGCTATGTAATTTTATATGTTAATTTTTTAGGATCCGAGATAATCCATATAAATATTAATCTTTATCCAAAATTTTCAATTTTAAACACTTGACTAACTAAAATTGTAAATATATTTTAAAAGTTAATAACACTCATGTATGTTATCATTTTTCATATATGATAAATTAAATTAATAACACTCAATCATGTATGTTATCATTTTTTATATATGATAAATTAAATTAATAACACTCAATAAAGCTTGCTTTTTTGAAGATGATACATATGGGTAACAAACAGAATTTGTGAAGGATGATTGACTCCAAGAACTCTGTGATCTCAATGTAGCTTTTAGTTTTCTCTTTTGGTAATGCTGACACAAGGAGACAGACAAGATTATCCAAGATCTTCGATATACAAGATTAACCCGTTCAAATTATCCAAGATTTTCGATATTCATATAATTAAATAAAAAACACAACAGTTTCTTTTTTTTCATTGTTGTGGATGATTATCATGTTAGATTCATTCAAACACACCAAAATATCAAACAACATTGATATCTTTATTTGCAGAGTTATCTTATTAGATCGATTAACATACTCTTAAAGTCTTAATTACCCATTTACTCTTTCAGCAAATCAGGAGTTTAAGGGGGCGATTGGATATAAATTGAATAGTAAAAAAACCAATCAAAACTCAAATTTAACTCAACTCCACTATCTTCAATATTACCAATATAATTAAATAATATCAACCAATCATTCTTACACATCAAATCAACTTTAATTCACTATTCATCCACTCACATAATTTTAACTAACCATCACTTCCAATCATTTTTCTCCTACTTTACATCAAATCAACTTTAATTATTTTATTTAAATATTATTTTAATATATCCACTAACAACTAACCATACCTCTTTTTTTCAAAATTAACTATAGTTAAAAACAAACCAAATAAAAACTAGTTGAATCCATAAACAATCACCCCCTAAGGATTTTCATTGGGCTACTTGAAGGGCTGAAAACATACAAAGTAGAACTAAATTTCAACAGAACATATAAAATACAACAATGACATAATAATTATCAAACTTCGACCAAAAAAGGCCATCAGTCATGGCCTAATCGAAGCATATATCTCTAGATTATTTAATTTGTACAAAATATAATTATAAAGTAAGACGCATAATCAAATGCAATGTGATAACCTTCAAGATTTTCGATGTATGAGATATATTTCCGTGGTCTTCATGTCGTCAAGATTGCATGAGAAAATATATCATACTATATAGTATACACTTGCCATGTATCTCATTATTATTGTATAGAAGATTGTTGCAATAAAAACCTCACAGAAAATAAGAACTTCATGGATACCAGCACTTTCGAGCAGTTTCACAATAAGAAATCTATCAACGGCACATTCAAGTTATAAATTCCAACTATCAGATATTCTTACATATTTAACTTTGATCAGAAAAACGATTCCATAAGGGTGGGTACAAATCCCACTAAAACAGTAAAATTGCGCAAAACACTGAACTTGGGAGTTTATAAATCATCATCAAATTCATAACCGATGTTTTCATCGTCTCACAATTGCAGGAAACATAAGCAGGTCGAAAAAGTTACTACGAACTCAGACAGTGAAATTCGAGGAACATTCAACAGTTGAATAATACCTCAGTCCAATCACTCAACAGCCTCAATGGAAGACAAGCTGACATGCGTTGGATCCTCGCTCAAACAATGAAATTCTCTTAAGCGCTTCAAATTTTGTTTCCACATCATTAGAAGTAAATATTTCCATCCTCTCCAATACTTGAGAATTCCTCAAAAGATATCTCACCATGTTGAATTCATGCTCTTTGAACCGCATCCACTTAATTGTTATAGCTCTTATACATGATAATAAGCATTTAGGCACTTGCTCGGGCTCCGGAAACAAATGTCCATCTTTGAAATAATCCAGCTGACACTAAAAGGAACATATCAAAATGAGTAAAACAAAAGGAGATGTTGCTCTGTAAGAAAACCGAGAAACGGCTAAAGAAAAATTTAATTGCATCAACGATAAACTCCACTTACAACAAGGACTTCGAGATTGTCAGCAATTTCAAGGAACTTTACAAGCAAACTCCATTCGAAGTTCAATCGGAGTTCAAGTTTGGTTAAATTATCCAACTCAACATTTGAACAAGCAACTCCTCTATGAATAAACTGAAAATAAAACCAGAATACGCATATATATAACAACAAAGCAGAAAACAACATAGAGAATGAAAACTAATTGACAGGAGGCCTAAGAAAGTGAAGAATGATAACATACCTCCTCAAATTCCCAACATGATATCTTTAGGCACTTAACAAAACATAGAGAATGGAAAAACTTCACCACCGTCGTTTTGAGATTTGAGAAGCAATGATATGTTAAGCGGATGTCCGCCTCAACTAAGGAGATCATGGTTATAGGAATTGTTATACACTCCAAGTCATAGCCATCCACTATGAGATACCTAAGGGCCGGGGCATTTATTATCATCCTATATTTAAGGTTAGATGGAGAGGTCAAACCGTGAAGATCGAGCATAAGCATCTTTATTGTGGGTGATGATATAGTTATGCAGCCCACATAATCATCTTTCTCCACAAATTTGAATTTCATAATCAACTCCTCGAGCAACGGACAACCGGAAAGAAAACGAGGAAGCGCGTCATCATTCTCACACACAACATTAGAAACATTAAACTTCTTGAGGCTAGGCAGAGAGACATTGTCCACATCAGAGAGTGGGGCTCTATTGTTATCAAGTTTCAAGTCGACAATGGTTTTGCAGTTGAAGAGGGATTGAGGGATTGTATTGAATTCGAGTTGAAGATAAAGATTTTGGATACTACGCTCGATGGCGGTCATAATCCAAGTCTCCAATTGATAATCGTTGCATTTGAGGTTACGGAGTGTTAAAGTATGCATTCTTTTTGCCTTGTGCAGAAATATAACCCTGTTGATGATGTCCGATGCTTGTGTTCTTTTTTTCTTGAAATTGTCTCCACTGAAGTCCAAACAGGGTACATGGGCCCATAGAAACCTCCATCTTTTTCCGAGAACGCAGGTCGCCACTGAGAGCTTAGTCGGGAGGAAAGAGAGAATGTGGCATATGACATCGTCCTGCAAGCTGCTCAGCCTATCGATCGAGCCCATGTTTTGCTCTCTAATCGAAAGCATTTGGCGCTTTCCACTCGGTTGTTTGGTTTTCTCCATTGATTTTTCACAACTTCAAACCAAAGGCAGTAGCATTCAGAGGGTACCAGGATTCGTACGATGGGCAGTTTAATTCTATGTGAAGAAGAAGAATATGATGAAGAAGAATATGAAAAGGCTGAGAAATAACAGTACAGCATTTATTTAGCCATTGATGCAAGTGGAAAAGGGGAAGAGAGAAACCTGAAGCCTCCAAAACCAAGGAGACTCTTGCGATTCCTGTTGCCACATGCGCCGTGGAATGAAAATAGAGTGTCACTCAAACCTACTTTCGATGCAATCATAGTTTGGGCGGTGCAGCTCGCTATAATACGAATTTGTTTGTAATCGCTATTTAAGCATTATAAATTTCATTTTACTGGAAGAGTCCACACTAAATGCATAAATGACACGCTACTTTTCAGTATTTACATTGTTTTGAGCTATTTTTACCCCAAATAATAATAAGCAAAGAAAAAACGATCAATTTCTTTTAATAAGGTTCGTGTTTTCAAACAATGTTGATTTAAAAAAAAAAAAACAGACAAAATATTTTAAATTAAATAAATGACTTATAATATTAATTTTGATGGCTTAGGTTAAATTAGGTGTTCAACAGTCATATTAAAACATTTTCGTTAAACATTTGAAAGAAATTATATTGTAATGTAATTTTTGGGTCCATCTTTTAATAGTAAATATTTTTATATTACTTTAAATCATTATTCTTATCTTATTGTACATAAATATGTATAATACTTTCATAATATAAAATTGTTATTTTCAAATAAAACTAATGTAACCATATACTGTCGTATATCGAATTACATACACGTTCATTTCGGATTTCAATAATCATCAATGCCCATATTAGGGGTGTTACTCCAATTGAGTAGCTCCCGTTCAAATTTGTACTCGTTTAAATACACGTGAAAGCTCGACTTAACTTAGTTCATTCATTATATATAAAAAAAACTTAAACGAGCTATTGGCGTACAAGTTTAGTTTGATTAGTTTATTTAAAATACAAATGTAAAAAAAAAAAGGTTGTTTGAGAGTACTTGATTTGACTAGTAAACAAGCTCAATTAGTGTCTGCACTCGGAGTGTTTAAATAAATGAACTAATCGAGTTTGAACTTTTACTTACCGAATGGAATTGTGTTCCATTCAGTTCCTCAACAACTCTACTCATCTATCTTTATTGTGAGAAAT